GTCCCTCCCATTTTTGTCCTTTATCATGTCCATCTTTGCACAAAATGTTCCTTTAATATTTCCAATTTTCCTGAACAGATCTCTGGTTCTTCCTATTCTGTTATTTTCCTCTATTTCTTTGCATTGTTCATTTAAGAAGGCCCTCTTGTCTCTCCTTGCTATTCTTTGGAAGTCTGCATTCAGTTTTCTGTAACTCTCCCTATCTCCCTTGCATCTTGTTTCCCTTCTCTGCTCTGCTATTTGTAAGGCTTCGTTGGACAGCCACTTTGCTTTCTTGCATTTCCTTTTCTTTGGGATGGTTTTTGTTGCTGCCTCCTGTACAATGTTTTGAGCCTCCATCCATAGTTCTTCTGGCACTCTGTCCATCAAATCTAGTTCCTTAAATCTGTTCTTTACTTCAGTATACTACGTAAATTTTAAATGGTGTTCCCTACATTATGAGATAAAACATGCGCCAGTAACGTATCACAGCATCTCATCTATGATGTCTCAATAAAGCAAATTATACTTTGTATTATTTACGTAGAATATGACTTCTGTTAAAATAAGTGAACCCAACTTCAAGTCAGATAGCCTGAAGCTGTAAGAGATTGCGTTTCCCCCTCATTAGATGGCTAAAAAAATGTAAAAGTTGATTGTGATTTCTAGCAGTGTACCAAATATCAAAATGATTGATTTACAGCAGAAACAGATACATTTATATTCACTGTGACACCTGGGTGTTATATACTGCATCATTACTTTTGCTACCAACAGACAAATCACTGGCTTCTAGCTCAGTGACACCAATTTTGTTCTGAATCTCTTTTTAACTATTTTAAAAAGCACACAATATTACTTTGCAAAGGTGTTGGTTTTCTCCCTCTCAAGAATATGTACTTTTATACTCAAAAGGTTTTTGCCCCATTTTTGCAATCCCAAAAGGGCACTAACTGCTCACTGTGGAAAAGTATGAACACAGTGCACAAATTAAGCTCATTAACAAGAAGTGCACAAAACACTAACGCAAATCCCATGAAAACCAAAACAGTAAATGAACTTAAACAACAGAATCAAATACTTCTTTTAAATGTTTAAATGTTCTTAATCACAACTGATTATCTTCACCAGGAACTACAGGGAAGGTCATTTTTATAACTGCCACCAGAAAAGCTATTCAAAGAATTGGACTAAAACACCAAAAGGAAGACAGCCAGGACAAGATGCAAGTGAAACTGAGCTTTTTACAACTCTATCTTTTAAGTCTTGTATCAAAAAGGCCACTTTTTTCAAATATGGAAATGTGGGTACTTTCGCCAGTAAGACAAATAAACACTTCATCCCAGATTATTAACAAGACAATGTAAAGGAGATTATAAAGATGCACAGTAATAGCAAAATAATGTTATGCTATGGAAAAATAATATTAAACCATTACACACAATTACATACAATCATTACAAAAAACTATAATCTTGGCACTAGTTATTTCCATTTATTATCAGGAAATCCAACCTATTGACCATCATGTTTAGTTACTATTGGAAAAACTCCATACAATGATTTAGGATATGGAATCCTCATGGTAAAAGATTCTGATATGGTTATTTGGGAACATTTCAACCATTTTTCAATTAGAATTGAACATATTCAGATGCTGTAAGAAAATCCAAAGACTGGCATTTATGATTTTCACATGCTATTGAGGATGCTAGAAGTGCAGAATGCATCTGTTAAGCATGACTATGATTTAAGACAGAAATTCCCAGTTAGTCTTGCAGTTAACAGCTAACATCCAATGCAAGTCTACACAGGACGGAATACAGTACAGCTGTAATTTCTCACATGCTTAGGCTGCAAGTCATTGTGTTCAGATGTTGCAATTTCAACTAAATTGTCTGTATTCTCAGTACTATCAGCAGGTGCAGTGGAAACTCCTAAACTCGTCATTTGCTACTTAAGAATGAGCACCAGGAAAATGAATACGTGTTAATCTATGTAGTGATAATGAATTTGGACAAAAGGGTTGATGAAAAGCTGCTGAAATGATATTTAGTGTTTTGGGAAATCACTTCTGTAGATTATGCTTTGAGATGCTTCACACAACCCTTGGATTACTGTCCCTGGTTCCAAAAGATGTGTCAGCTGCAAGCTCCTAAGAAATAGCTCATCAATTACTACAAGAGCTATAATAAATGTGGACAATTCCCCAGCCATACTAAGCAAACATTCCCTTTCTTTGAAGGAGTCCGTATGAGTTATTGCTTGCTTTCCAAGTAGAGATATTTACATCCAAGAGCAATGATCTATAAAATTCAACAGAAATATAAGCAAAGAACACAATCTCCTTAAACTTAGAAAAAGTATGATTTTCTGTAAGAATACAATGATTTAGGGACAAGCCTCAGGTTTATACATTGTCTTTTCCTTTGACATATCCACAGGAAGATAGGGAGCTTCACCTTTATAGTAAATGTTTAATATAGCCTAGTCTAACGTATTTCCCTCTTTTCCTATGGCATGGGTATAAGGAGACATTTGGTTAAGAGGGATTTGCAAAGTAGAGAGAATGCTCATTCATCCTTCACCAGCACCTCTCTCTCTCTCTCTCTCTGTGTGTAGGTTAAAATGTATTTTGGTGAGGGCCCATATTAACAAGGCTTTCATAGACTAATATAAAAGCACAAAAATCAATCCATACAACACAAGCTCGA